GATCAAAATGAACTGCAAATGGTCTGAGGTAAACAGGATGAAGTTTAATCGGGACAAATACAAAATACTTCACTTCAGAAGGAACAATCTGTTTCACACATACAAAATGGGAAGTGACTGTCTAGGAAGGAGTACTGCAGAACAGGAGCTAGGGATCATAGCAGACCACAAGCTAAATATAAGTCAACAGTGTGATACTGTTGCAAAAAAAGCAGACGTGATTCTGGGATGCATTAACAGGAGTGTTGGGAGCAAGACAGGTGAGTCATTCTTCTACTCTGCTCTGCACTGATTAGATCTCAGTTGGAGTATTGTGTCCAGTTCTGGGCACCACATTTCAGGAAAGATGTGGAGAAACAGGAGAAGGGCCAGAAAAGAGCAACACAAATGACTAAAGGTCTACAAAACATGAGTTACGAGGGAAGGCTGAAGAAATTGGGTTTGTTTAGTTTGGAAAAGAGAAGTCTAAGAGCTTTTAAGCATGATAGCAGTTTTTAAGTATCTAAGAGGGTGTTACAAGGAGGAGAGAGAAAAATTGTTCCCCTTGGCCTCTGATGATAGGACAAGAAGCAATGGGTTTAAATTGCAGCAAGGGAAGTTTAGGTTGGACATTAGGAAAAACTTCCAGTTAAACACTGGAATTAATTGCCTAGGGGGGTTGCGCAATCTCCATCCCTGGAGATATTCAAGAGCAGGTTGGACAGACACCCGTCAGGGATGATCTAGACGGTGCTGGGTCCTGCCTGTGAGGGCAGGGGACTGGACTCAATGACCTCTCGAGGTCCCTTCCAGTTCTAGGATTTTATGAGAAACAGGCCCCGTCAGGAGAGACTGGGCTGTGCTTTCCCTCCCCACAGGGTCTCTTCCCCTGGGAATGACCAGGCGAAGGCCTATGGCACCTCTGCTTCTGGCCTAAGCCGGGCCCTAGCCCTCTCAGGAGCTGAATCAAGGATTTCTGGCTCCTCTGGGGCTGGGCTAAAGGAGCCAGGTTTGTTGGCCACGCCTCAGGCCCACCACCACTAGAGGGAGCCAGAACACCACACTGGGAGGGGCTGGTACAGAGCTAAAATACAGCTAGTGGGAGCTATTGCCCCAAGAAGGGGGCTAATTCCACCCCTTTCCCAACTTCCCTAGGTCTGGCCTTACCCGAGGGCTGTTCTTCACAAAATTATACCACGTCCATCTCTGTGGCATCAGGCTGCCTCCAGCCGGGGATCAAGCATCTGTCCTGCCTGCTCCATTCTCCAGCAGGACAGGTAGGGGGGAGAAATGACACATTTATTGTCCCTCAGCGTGGAGGCGGCCTTTCTGGGCTGCTGCCTTAAGCCAGGTCTGTTTTAGGAATTCCTGCGAGGATCGGTTGGGGAGGCAATGGGGGGTGGGGGTGTGCATGTGTGTGCGGGGGGGGATTGCAAATGCCCTGATGCGGACGCAGCTACGCCTGTGGAGCTGTGCCATTGCCTGCGCGGTTTGTTTCGCTCACTGATGCGGTGTACATGCTTCGCCGCCGTAGCACCAGCAAGCCCTCCCTGTGCAGACGAAGCTTAGAACTCAGGTTAAAACCCAGGCCAGCCCGTTCCCGGACTCCAGTTCTGTAACCTGCTTAAATGTACAGACGTGAGCCTCTCCAATAGCCAGGCTGAGCTAGATGCAGCCTTTGGTCACCAGGTACAACCTCCCCTGCATGGGCCCTGCACGCACTTGTGCACAATAGCGTATTGCTTAATTGGGGTAGTGCAATCCCTTGGCAGTGTGAACAGGAAGTACTGAGCCGGAGCAAGGCCAGCCAGTTCTGCTCTTTGGCCCTGGTGCGACTGCTGTCGGAACGCCGTAGCCAGCGTGGCTGGTGGCTCCAGTTTAAGTGGGCTCTTCTGTGTAACAGACAACCATCTATCAGGGACAAATTCACACCAAATTAAGGCGCAGTTTGTTTCCCCCTCAGCGAGGGGCAATTAACCACTGACAACTCACCCAGCAGGGCAGCGGCAGGTTTTCCCTCACTGGACAGTTTGAAATCAAGATTAAAGAGCTTTTCTCGGAGCCCTGCTGCAGCTGAACCACAGCACCTGCCCCTCAACAGTGATTAATTCTGGGCTGGCCTCTAACCTTGTCACACAAGAGGTCAGACCTTGTGCCTCCTAGGGACTCTTCTGGCCCTGGAATCTACCACCCTGCTCAAACTGCATCCTTGCCCAGAGGAGTCAGAGCGACCTAAGGAGACAGAGCTGGCTGACCTTGGAAAAAGTCACCTCTGTGCCTCAGTTTCCCCATGTGTATTCTGGTGATGGCACTAAGCTCCTCTGTAAAGTGCCCTGGGAAGGCCTAGGAATTCTAACACTGAGCTGCTTCCACATAAAAGTCCACCTGCTCCAAGGATATACAACCTCCCTAGTCAGATCAAGCCAGGGCTGGATTCAAACGGATTAAAAAAAAAAAAAGCACAGCCAGGCAGGTTTGCACCAGTTGGATTAAATGTGTAGAACCTCCCCACCCTGAGCACGTGCTGATTGCCGTGCGAGGCGCCAGGCCGCCTGAGCACCCTCACTGGGAATGGACAGGGCTGGATTTACCTCACAGCTCCCCTAGGTGCATTTTCAGCACAAATGCCCCACCCCCCTACAGCTGACTTTGGTGTTATCCAGAAAGCTCCCCTGGAATGCCAGCATATTGCCCCAGTGCCTCACCGCAAATCCAGCCCAGGGAACAGAAGAGACTCAGTGGCGAGTGAGACGTCTTTGGCACAGGGACTATCATTCTGGTCTGTTTGTTCAGCACCTAACGCCACGGGGACCTGGTCTGGGTCTACAATGCAAAGAGTTATACCAGGTCTAGACTACAGGCTTCTGCTGACAGCAGCTGGGGTGTGTGTGAGGGCAGAGCACTGCTGATGTAAGTGCCCAGCATGGGTTTACTTAGCCCAGCAGAGCTGTCCTGCTCCCGGGAGAACTGGCTCAGGTTATGAGGGGTGGCGGGAGGCCCTCAATCCAGGAGTAGCTCTCACTTCACTTTACCAAGGAACTGGGCATCATTATTCCCATTGTACAGTTGGGAAAATTGAGGCACAGAGCAGGAAAGTGACTTGTGCAAGCTCACCCACCAGACCTCTGGCTGAGCTGGGACTGACAGCCTGTCCCCCAGTCCAGTGCTCTACACCTTAGGCCCCGTTGCCACCCAGATGCACCCTAGCAGTGCACTGCTGGGGCAGTACTGGTAGATCAGGAGGGCTGAAGTGCTGTTAGCGTGTGCGTGATCAAATCACTCCAGCTTCCTGCTTAGCCTGAGCCCAATGGCCCTAAACCCTGGGCCAAGCTGACAGCCAGACACGCCTGCTGCTCTCACAGCCAGGGGCACAAACAGCACGAAAACAAACCAACCTCACACTAGCCGCATCTAAGTTTTCTATAAAATAAATTTTTTATTGTGTAAATTACAAAAAAAAAAAAAAAATACACCAGAACACTCCAAAACCTTCCATGATCCTTCAACTCAGTCATTTATATCCCCAAATAAAAAAAATAAGCTGCTTTTATTGTGATAAATACATATAGAATATTTGTATAAACAGGGCACTGTACACTTTAGACACACAAGAGTTGTGCTGAGAGATCACAACTGACCTGGACAAAGACCCTCTCGCCCTACAGGGCTACCAAGCTCAATGACTCTTCAGGACCTGCTTGGCCTCTCAAGAGCTTATCGAGTGTGACACCCCAGGTGGGGATGGAATCAGAGACTAGAAGCTGGTGCGTCTACTCGGAGCTCAGGAGCATTTATGCGCCTCCAGAGAGAGATCAGGCGCGAGGGGGGGGAGAACACTGCTCAGGGCGGGTTACATGCAGGCTTGGAAGAATTCGATTTCTGGCAGTCAGTGCCAGCAATCGTTATTTGTGCCAGCCCCACAAGCCCACAGAAAATATTGTCATCGGTGACTGAAAAGTACAGGGCAGCCCTGGCTAAAAATGCTGCTTGAGAACTCAGCCACATTTGATTGCAGGCGGCCTCCTTTGTGCAGGCTGACATGTGGCGCTGACCCTTTCTGTTTGAAACTTGTTGAATCTTAACATCTACTGGTATTAATCCATTGGTGTCCGAGCCCCCCTTAGTCCCCAAACACTAAAAAAAAAAAATCTCCAAAACACACTTGAACACACCAGAACATGATCCACGGAGACTAAAATCAAATGCTGCCAGGATTAGTTACATGCCCTGAAAGTTTTGGGGAGGGGGGAGGTATCCTGGATAAACTCTTCTGGATTGGGAGATGAGAGAGAAACAGAGCTGCTCACCCAGGCTCATCTTCTATGCCATTTCCACCCTTCCCACACCTGCCCGTCCAGTTTGGCTTAGAACTGGCTGATGCAGAGGAGGGAAGCCATGTCTGGCCTGGTGTGGAGAGTCAGAAGAGCAAGTCCCGTAAATGCAAAAAGGGGCTGGTGTCTCCAGAGATGACATTTGAAACCAGCTACCTAGCCAAGGACTGGAGCAGAAGACCCGCTTCTAAACTCCTTTCCTAAATATTTTTTGGGGAGGACAACAGAGTCTGATGGGGAAAAGAGGTTTGGGGGGCGGGGTATCTGGAGAGGCCTTCACAAAGCAACCATGCCCACCAGCAAGAGAGAAAGAGGACCTGCAAGTAAGCATGGGAGACCGAAACCCCGCCCTTTGGAGCTGTGCTTGGCTAGTTCTAAAAGGAGCCACAGAAATCCCTCTCTTGGGGCAGCAGAGTTAAAAAAGGAGGAGGGGAAGACGGGCGCAAGGGGGGACAGAGGAGACAGGCTTCCTTACAAAGCCCACAGCCATTGCTGCAAGCTGCGTTTGTAGCAGTGTGTGTGTGCAAAAGAAAAATCTTCCCTAAAAAGCAACCCCCCCCTTCCTCTGGCAAGTGCAATGGGGCTGTCCCTGAGGTATAAAATCCCCTCCCTGGGCACCAGCCACCTGCCAATGCATCCTTCCCACAGGCCCACCAGCCCCCCAGCTCCAGGTATTCAGGGGAGAACAGGTCATAATCAAAAGTGCTTTAATGAGGCCGAGGGCGGGCAGGGGCAACTGTCTATCACCTTCAAGTGGCTCCGAAGACTCCCCATTGGGGAGCTCAGCACCGGGGGCAATGAGCGTATGCAGGGCAGGGGCTAACAGCTTGTTGGTTTCGAGGGAGCTGCAGGAGGGGGGAGGAGATGTGAGATTCCCCTCCCCCGAACTCTTTGGGGCTTGGACAGCGAGGGGGAAGTGGGGGCGAACGAGGCGTAGGAGGTGGGGAACACAAATAGGGGGTCTAGAGAGGGCAGGTAATGGAAGTGGAGGCACAAGGGGGGCAGGTGGGAAGAGGCACCGTGAGCTAGGAGGACGTGGGTGGAAATGGTGCACCATGGGGTAGGGAGGGGAGGTCAGGGGACTGGAAGGGGGCATGGGAGGAAATACAGGATAGAAAGGGGGTGGCAGGCAGTTCAATAGCTCCCAAGTCAGCCCCCACCTGTCAGCTCACAGCCCCCACGCTGTGGCTGAGATCCACGTCCTTCAAGTGTCCTTGGAGGGCAGGGGGCGTCCCTCCCCCCACGCCGGCACCAGGAGCCATGCTCACTCCAGGAACTTGTGGGTGTCTCCGTCTAGCCGGTGCTGGGGGTGCATGGCGGCCTCATTGAGGGGCTGGCAGTGGGCCGGCCCGCACTGGCAGGAGTGGATCACCATGACGCTGCGAGTGAAGGAGTCCCCGTCCGGGCAGCGGAAGGGCACGGCCAGGGTGCGGGTGCGCAGAGGCACACAGCAGCGCCCGTCCAGGCACGAGCCGCAGTAGCTGGGCCGGTACTTGCGGAGGCTCTTGCAGCCAGCGTAGGTATAATGCACGGGCTCCTCTGCCTTGTGGGTCCGGAGGCACTTCCTGCCCTTCTGTGGGGGTGGCGAGGGAGACAACCCAGTTAGATGCAGCTGGAGGGGGAGCTGCTTGTGTCTCAGATCAGGCCCTCCTAGCTCCATCTACAGCTGCAGCATGCAATGAGCTTTCCAGGTCTCAGTGAAGAGGGGACCCAGCTAGGAGCCCCCAGACTGGAATGAGTTTGCCAGGCCTCAGCTGAGACTGGGGGATGGGATGTGAGAAGAGAAGCATTGGAATGGGTATATCGGGGCTCAGTTTGGCTGGGGGCAAATGGGGCAGAATAGACACTCCCACCAGCATACACCCACCCAGGGTCTCCTGCATGGTTCCTACCCCCACCAGCATCTCCTCTGCCAGCAATTGCTTCCAGCTCCCAAGCTGCAGCATGATAGGAGCCAGCCCAGCGTGACCCTAAACCAGCCCCACAGCTCTTCACCAGACCCCACCCTCCTTTACTGCTGTGTTGGGCCCTGGATACAGCCTCTATGCGGAGATAGGGGCTGCACACGGCCTTAGCAAGCCTTTAGAGAAATGGAGGCTCTAACCATTAGACACCACTTTCCCCAGAGCAGGAGCTAGACTCAAAGGCTACGTCTACACTACTTTTTGTGGAAGAGGCAATGCAAATATTTTACAGACATAAGGATCTTGCGCAAAACAGGATTTTGCACACTGCTTGTTTTTGCACAAAAACTTCCTCCGTAATACGGATCGAAAGAGAGTATGCAAATGAAGCATGAGAAAATGTTAAGTGCACTTCATTTGCATTGCCTCTTCCACAGAAAGTTCGTAGTGTAGACAGCCAAAGAGTCCCGATTCCCAGCCTCCCCTGCTCTGCCCACTAGACTCCCCTCTCCAGGACTATGTCTACACAGCAGCATTATTCTGAAATAACAAAGCATGTGTCGACACTGCAAACCGTTATTTCGAAAGAATGGTGGGCTGAAGACTTCTTACTCTGACTCCTGTAACCCCCACCACCAAAGTTCGTAGTGTAGACAGCCAAAGAGTCCCGATTCCCAGCCTCCCCTGCTCTGCCCACTAGACTCCCCTCTCCAGGACTATGTCTACACAGCAGCATTATTCTGAAATAACAAAGCATGTGTCGACACTGCAAACCGTTATTTCGAAAGAATGGTGGGCTGAAGACTTCTTACTCTGACTCCTGTAACCCCCACCACCATAGGACAGCGCCAAAAGCAGAGTTAAGCTATTTTGACTTAAGTACGCAATTGACATAGCTCAAGTTGCATCGCTTACTTGACTTTAGCCCTCCTGCATAGACGTGCCCTGGGAGACCTTTACTAAGGTAGCCGGCTCCTTGTTCCAACCCCATTTCCAGGGGCCATCCCCACCTCCCTTGGCAGGGCCCATCATTTCCCAGCATGTCCCCCCACTGTCCTATGGGCAGGGGTCCCGGCCCCACCTTCAGCTTGGTGAAGTCAGGCTGGCTGCAGGGCCGGATCTGGCACAGCTGCGTTTCCTTGGCCAGCTTGCACTGGGGGTTGTTGTTGGTGACTCGGGTGGAGGCGCCCAGGCCGCAGGTCTTGGAGCAGGGAGACCAGTCCGTGGTCTGGGTAATGCATTTCCGCAGCACAGAATGGGGCTTGAACAGCGGCTGCCAGACTGGAGAAGCAGAGTGGGGAGCTAGGTTAATACACGGGCTTGCCAGGAGGGGGCGCTGGCCATCAAGCCAGGACACAGGGATTTCAGGTAACCCTGCAGTCACCTCCCCACCAGGCCTAGAAGCTTGGCATGAGCTGCAAGGCATGCTGGGAGATGTTCTCCTTTCAGCCCAAGCCGGCAGGGATTCTGGGCCAGCCCATTATTCTATAGCCAGGCAGGCAGCAGAGTTCTGTCGCCAGGCTCCTCAGAGCTGGGGACGGTTCAGGTCAGGTAGCCCAGGAGCTGTCTGTTTCCCCCCCCCCCCCGCC